TGAAATATATATGCATCGGGCATTCACCATTATGATGTGCAGACTTATGCACAACAAATTCAATCTAAGTATGATATCTTATGAAATATATACATTGGACTTTCACCATAAATATGTACAGACTTAAGCACAAAAATCCAATCTCCGAATGATGTAATATTAAATATGTCGTCGCTGTTTTCACGAAGTGACGGTAGTGAGAAAAAAAATTGCATTCACTTTGCGTTACTTTTTTTCCTCACTACCGTCACTTCGTGAAAACAAGGACGATGTATGTAATGAATATGCACCATTATGATGTGCAGACTTATGCACAAAAAATCCAATCTTAGTATGATATGAAATAAACATTGGACTTTCACCATGAGTTTGTGGACAAAAATCCAATCTCCGAATGATTTCATAAAAAAGATGTAAGCAATGCATATGCGCCATTATGATATCCAGACTTGTGCACATTAATCCAATCTTAGTAAGATATCATAAACAATACGTTATACTTTCACCATAATGATGTACAGACTTATACATAAATATGTAAACTCAACCCTGAGATATGATGTCATATGAAATCTAAATACACTAGATATTTAACCCGTAAAGACTTTTGCAGACATTCCAATCTCAGTATGATATAATATTAAAAAAATGAATATGTATGTATATATAGATATATATATATATATATATATATGTAATGAGCATTCTCCATTATGATGTGCAAACTTATGCACAAAATATCCAATCTAAGTATGATATCTTATGAAAAATAAATATGCATTGGACATTCACCCTTATGATGTACAGACTTATGCATAACAAATCCAATCTAAGTATGATATCTTATGAAATATATATATGCATTGGACATTCACCCTTATGATGTACAGACTTATGCACAACAAATCCAATCTAAGTATGATATCTTATGAAATATATATATATGCATTGGACATTCACCCTTATGATGTGCAGACTTATGCATAGATATATAAACTCAACCCTGAGATATGATATCGTATGGAATCTAAATACATTGTATATTCAACATCTGAAGACTTAAGCACATATATCCAATTTCAGTATGATATGAAATAGAAACGTTGAACTTTTACCATTATGATGTGCAGACATTATGTTCAAAAATCTAATAAAATTAACGTTGACATGTTGTATTAAACGAGGCCTTACTACATTGGACCTTAAAAATGTGCAGACTTATTCACACAATTAAAACTGAATGTCACGAAACGATGTTACAAGTAATCCAAATAATAGGTTTGGGTAATAATATGATTGTGTATTACCAGAATTGGTATTGTGAGCCTAACTTGTTTCACGAAAGTTAAACATATTGGGGATACAGGTGGGACTGAGCTGCTTTATTGGCTTAAAACTTTAAACGTGCAATTTATTCTTTCTTTCGACTCTGCATTTCAGCCCCTTACGTTTCTTGTATGCTATTCTCTACACAGTCTCTTATACTGTTCATCGTCAGTTCATGATGACATGATACGGGATTCGACATATGTGTAACCATGTCCTTAAATAATATGCATAATATACTCGGAGCAATTTATGCCCATGGTTATTTTGATGGTTAGTAGTTGTTTATTGTAATAATGCCGATGATTATATGATGGTCAGTAGTTATTAATTGTATTTAGGCCTATGATTATCTCTGATGGTCAGTAGTAATTAATTGTATTTAAGCCTATGATTATCTGGTTGTCACTAGTTATTAATTCTACAGGCCTACTATTATCTGGTGGTCAGTAGTTATTAAATTATTATCGGTTCCCTAACACTCCATTGACAGCCCAGTCCAAGTATTCAGATATATTTTCATAATTTCTTAATTATAGTGCAATTGTTAGCTGCATTTTTGCACCATTTAGGTGAAAAGCTAACAAATATTTTCTTTGTCTAGTTCATATGTTCCATCCATACACCACCTAATTCAACATCATTAAAAATCTTCTTCAGCTCGATGAAGCTTCCGCCTGTCTTGTTTTTCCATATGGAAAGACACTCCCTCGTCGCTTTCTGATAGGTGCTACCGGGCGTGTGCAGAATAGTGGATGCCTTGTTGTACACGATACCGAGTCTGTATGTCAGGTTATGGTATTTATCGTGTGGGACGTGGTCTGCAAGCGTATCCAGTGTTCCGTCTGATACCTTGACACTTTACAACAATGATTTAAACAATAAGGAAATATTATGTCAAGTAGTTCAAAACCCAATATGAATTTCGCCAAGTGGTATTGTCACAGTTCCCATGAGCAGCTTTTTTTTATTAATTTAGGTGCAAGTATTTTGATAATGCATTATGTTTATATAAGCTAACACTAGAAGCATGAGTTGTCATTGGAGACTTCGTCAATTTAAATCTTAATGTGTTTAATTCTTTGAGGATCTCGAAGGCGTTGGAGCATTCCCCTGCCAGGATTTAGGATATCAAATGCTTCCTCGCTACAACTTCGAGCCTCACTTCGAAAATTGGAAGCCTTGTAAAGCATGATTTGTTTATTTTATATATTTATACATTATATTATTTTATTATAAAAATAAACAAAATAATCATTATTCTTTCCTTTTTTTCGGGGGGGGGGGGGTGGGGCGAAACATATTCTAAATGTCAACTTTTACATATTTGTTGGTTTATGCGTTGTTGATCCGAGTGCTATACAATGTCAAATATACCTCTAATAATTGACGTGGTAATTTCGTCAGTTCTTACGAAATCTTATTCTTTGTTTATTTCCTCTTCTATTTCATATAAGGGGGTTGTATTAATTACCCCTTTAAATACAAATTTGAATTGTAGTCATAATGGTTGTTGATAAAGACATTGCAAAACCGTTTTACCAGAACGCAATCAATTATCGTTTAGACACGTTTGATCTATGCTAGATTATAGTAGATCGGTATCTAATAAAGATATCGTAATATCATAATTATCATTTAAGATATGTATTATCCCACCAATGAGATTTTAATCAAGAATGCTTTAATAGCGATTATAAAAATAATTTTCACCTGCTTTTAGAAGTAGGAACTTCATCGGCTGGCGCTGATTGAGGGGGAATGTCAGGTGATGTGGATACCGACGGTCCCTGGGATGCGGAATCTGTTTTTCTTGGTGATGTCTCGATTGTATCTGATTATATATAGGAAAGAAAATTGTGTTAACTTCGTTTAAAAATATGAACTTAGTATTCTTTTGGTTTTGCTAGCATAATCTTGTCGAAGAAATGTAATTCCAAGTTATTTACACAAATACAAATTTTCAAGCGAATTAATCTTGTTAGCTCAATTTGAATATATGATAATCGTAATCATGTTACGTAGTATACTTCAATACCGTCTTTAGACAGGAAACAAACATTGTCAGAACATAATCTGCATGAAAAGTTCATCGTTCTTCGACACGGAAGTATTTAAATGCAAGGGTTTTAATATAAATCACATTTGATTATCTTCACGTTAAAGCATTCAAGTTTACAACAAATAAGATGTTGAGCTGCAAAAAGAAAGAAAATCTACTCAATATTGATATTTTATATAGGCTTTCCAAATACTAGGATTATAGTTTGAATGCTCACATGAAAATATACTTTGTGTGTACTGTTCATGTATCCGCATAATTATGACATTGATTTCACTTGAGGAGTGCTTTTTTGAACACGTGTTTGGTGTAAATAGTAACACAAAAAGTGATTAAACAAAAAGTACAGAGCAAACGGAATGGGTGTATTTTCATCTTAAAGACGAAATAGGCAGTTTCATTTGAAGTTATTGTCCGTTGATGACTCTCGAAATGTCCGTCCAAATGTCTGCCCGTTATATATATTTTTGGTTTACATATCTAAAAGAGTTGGAGCTTGGCTTTGAAATTAAATCGATGTAAAATAAAAATCAACCTCCTCGATTAATTAAGTTCAGATAGAAAACACAAACAGAACCAAAGTCAAGACTCCCGTTTCTATCTCATTCGTCATTAACAATAAATATTTCAACTAGTCTATATTCAGAAGGTAAGCATGGAAACCAAATGTTTTCAACTGTAGTCACCTTTGGTGTTATCTTTTAAAATGAAACATAAATCGCTTTCTCAAGATGCGGCGGTTATTTTGTACATGCCTTCAAACATCAAAACTGGTCAAATGTCCTTAGATGATAAATTAAATTTGTAGAGTTCTCGGTTGACTTGATTCTAGTTAATGTTGTTTACCTTCTAAGTGCATGGGAACCAAGAGCCGCTTTGTTGTGCTTTGTTTCAAGATGAAGTGTAATATCACTTTACTCTTATTTGTGGTTGGTGGACCCACTGTGAACATCGCTTTGTGCTCAGTCAGATGGCGAATCTCACTTTCCTGTAGAGTCTACAAAAAAAGGGTTTTGTCAGTATAAACCTTTAAAAAAATCGTACGTTTATAAGACTTAAGAATTATCTTCAAATTGTACGTAACCCGTCAGACAAAAATGCTGCCAAACGGATCTCCACTGTCGCTAGTAACGTTGGAATATTTTTTGTTTACCCCAATTCATGGAATTATTTTGACAATGATTTATTCCTAATAGATGTGGATAATATTATACATTCTCAGATTTTATTGAACAATAATTTGCCAATGTTTGTGTTACGTGACTGCTAAAGCATGTGTATGCTAATATGCTTATCAACTAGGGGACCTACGCCCTTAAGCCATCTATAACAGTAATTAGGATAAATGCCCCACAAAAGGGCACTAATATAGCTCATCGACACGGTTTTGATCCTGGGGTCTCACAGTTACGAGGCCATTGCTGTGCCACTGAACCATGACTGTACGCAGCGGGGGCTAGGGTAGAGGGCAGTTCCCATAAATAAAAAAAGAAGGAAGAAAATGTAATAAATTATCAATAAATCATTGCATTTTACCCCGGTCCCCAACATAAAAAAAATCCTCTGTACGGCCATGCATTATGGTTCAAGGCATGGGTATGATTTAAACTGCTCATATGAATGTTACCGTGGTGTCGTCTTCCGTGCTTTGTTTGCAAGTTATCCTTAATCCTCCAGAACGCCACCTAACCAAGAATTGCTCTCCGGGAATCGGAGCCATGTATTTGTCATCCACCTTGAAAATAATGTTAAGAAAAAATAACGAATAGTTCAAATGCATTTCCACTCAACAAAGTATATCATCAGTATTAGAGAGAGAAAGGGGGAAATGAAAGAACAAAAAGATACCTTCAAAGACCAAAAGGGACATTGACACATGAATATATCGAATTTAAAACTGCTGAAGTTTAAAATTGAAAGGTCTAAATGAGGATATACCGAAAAAAAGAATCTGCAAATGTTACTAGATATATTTCAGCCTTAATAATGAAGATAAGTACAAACAATAATGATAACAATATTTGTTAACATCAATTTATTGTGCAAACTTGCTCAATAATTAAAGGAGACATGATAATAACCCAAAATAAAACCAATTTATTGGTAGATCCACAAGGTAAGCACATCAGTATTAGTGCTTCTCTTCCTGCGGGCCCTCCAATTATTATTACCTTATCTTCGCCATGTACCCATTTACATCTGGGTGAAGAGTAGCAATTGCGGATTAATGTCTTGCCAACCGACGTCAGTGCCTGTCTAGGATTCAAACCCCCAAACGATTCGATTGAGAGTCAATTGAATGGACCACTATACACAATACATCCATGTAATCCGTTTACACTTAAACTTGATGAATGTTCACGACCGTACCTGAATGTTTTAATGGCACTTTAAATGCAAAGCAAAAAATTACGATAAAGAGAGGGGAAAAGAATATCAAGAAGACGAAAAAACGAAAAAAACAAACTAACCTCCAGTTTTCTGATGTGTTCATCTCTTACATGGACAAACAACTCGTGTTCATCATTCTTCGAAGTTGACACAGGAATATATGGTGTACAAATAACACGCTTTCCAATGAATATCCGTCTGAAGACAGCTACAATCCAAAATTCGGAGAAATGGTTCGTGTAGATATCAAGGTCGCGATGTCTTACAACACATCGCGGGCTCCCGTTGGTAGAAGGAATCGCCGTAAAACTTTCAGAAGCTGTCCATGCAAAAATATCAATAAAGAAATCTAGTAAACGTACGTTAACCCAAACCCATTGATTTAAAAAAAAAAAAAAAACCTATACTTGTATGTCAAATTCATCATAAAATATCGCAGTTCTCACATTTAATACAACATAATGGAACCATGTCCTTTTTTTTCTAACAGTCATCCTAATTCGTTTCCCCCTCCAATCTAATACTGCGTCATGTCTTGGGGTTTGAAAGGCGTTTTGGGGATTAAAAAAACGGCCACAATTATACGTTTGTATTTGTGCAATTCACTTCATTGGGCATATCTATTACTTTATTTAATGAATGGCAATATGAATGGGACAGAGAGAGAGAGAGAGAATGAGAAAGACCATACTTTACCACTCTTGCGATAATAAATGACGACTTCCGCAGCCTCTGGCTTTGTGAATATACCACAATGGGGCATCCTTACTCTCACCGGAATGTCAAAGTTTGCGTCAGAGGGCGACATCCTCAAGCCGACAGTGATGATGGCTTCTGTTTCCTTCAGTACCAACTCAGGTGGAATGTCATGGATTGGTTCGAAGGTGACATCTTTTGCGCTGTAAGCTTCGTTTGCTGGAAGTCTCACTTCAATACCAAGCTTCTCAAGCCGAATGAGGCCAGTATCCTCACTCGAATCCACCCTACTTTCAAGATTTTGAACTGGGATTTCATCCTGGAGAGCGCTCGGTGACAAGATATGGTGAACGGACTCTGTTATCTGTCCCTCGTCATATGTAGGTTCTGAAGTGTACTCATTCGGTTTGATATCCGCCGGCTTTACTCTTTCTCCAGATTCCATCCATGCCAAAATGGCTTGCTTGGAATGCTCTCTTTCTGTAAATGAATTAAGGTACACTTCTAGTAATAATTATGGATTTGTATAGCGCCTAAAACCCTATTTACAACAAGAATCAACAATAAGGCATAAAATAAAAAAAATTGTTCTGTTGCCCTTAGCGACCGATCCACAAATCTGAAAATCTACGGTCGGCATTTGAAAAAAAAAATTGATTTTTTTTTTTTTTTTTAAATTAATGAATAAAAAGATATGTATTTGTGTTTGTTTAAATGGGATATAAATGCATAAAATCGAATTATTCCAAAATTCTCACTCATGCAAACCATGGATAGTTATGAGGTGAAAAAGATGTGTATTAAAGCGTTAAGAACTGAGAAATATTAGCCAAAAGAGGGCGGGTAAAAAAAAATCAAATCTGAAAAATATCGGCCCAAAGAGGGCGACAAAATAAAAGTTTTAAAAAAAAAACCTTTTCGACCGACCGACCCATGTTTTGGCACCCAAAGGGCAATGCAACAAGTTTTTTATTTTAGGCCTAATACATAGAAGATAATGTTGTACCTGACAATCTTGCATTTAAATTATATTAAGGGGATTTTAACAAAATTTCGTTTCATTAATATTGTATGAAACCGAACATGTAAACATGATTCAATTACAGCACTTTGGAAAATCATCCGTTTCTTTACTTGCCCCCCCCCCCCCCCACAAAAAAAAAAATATATATATATATATAAGGGGGTGCCTACCTTCATCTTCATGATGCTCGTCAATACTCAGACCTCTGAAAGGAAAGACAGAAATTGTAGGAAATTGACAAGGAATATCCAGGTACAGACAAAAAAAACTTTTTATCTATAGCAATCTAAGATTCTATTATTAACCCGTGATTCATTCATCCTTTTGAAGAAGGAAAAAAAAGATCTGTTGATTCAGTGGATTGTTATTATGACATTTCATATGATTATCCAAAATCGAAAATAATATCAAAGAAGGTGTAGAAGCCGTCAATATGAAGACAAGTCTTAACCCAACCTCACTGGGCATAAGCCCTTGATAGGCCTTCGACCCTCCACACATTGTTCTTTACTGAATCTTTTTATTTATAATGTAATATTTTGATGATTTTTTTTTTCTGCATTGTTTTACTTATTTTACAGTAATTCTGGTTTTTGTGGGAATAAATGAATTGAATTTAGTTTTCGCAATTCTAATTACGAGTAATCAGGGTGAGCCCATCTGAAACAAGAGAAAGGCAGGAAATATACCTTTGAACTCTGTCAGGTATGTGTCTAGAAGTTGAGAAAGTCCGTTTACGCGCACGAGCTAAATAGGGAGTGTGTGCGCCATCTGAAATGAACATTAAACAAATTAAATTACAGTATTATAAATATCTGTCCCAGACTCAACGAACATATTAAAACTCTACACACAAAAAAAGAAATTGTCTCCTTGCAAGAATCTTGTAATTAACTCACAAACTACCTTTGGATGTTGAGATGGCATGTAAAAGCAAGATGCGTGAAGCGAGCCCACCTAATGCTATTGAGAAATACTGCCCAATATATTAAATTTACTAATTATTACATGTAACAAATAACTAGGGTATACACCTTTTTCATCCTATGTTATTCAACAATTAGAAGAAGAAATTGAATACAAGACAGGGCAACTTACAACGTTTAGGAAAGCAACCCTCCACCTCCACCTCCTCCTCCAGCAACGTGCTGAAACTGATAATAATAATAACACCATCAACAACGACACTACTAAAAATAATGATAATAATAATAATAATAATAGTGATAATAAAAATGATAGTGTAATAATAATAATGATAAAAAGATTATTATTATGATCATGGTAATAATGATTATGATAATAACGATAATATATATTTTTTAAACTGTTGTTTACCCATGGAAGCCTCATCAGCCTCATTGCTTTTATTCCTGAGAACCTGCAATCACTTTTACTCATGATTCTTTTGGATCTGAACTTGTTTCTTTTTAGTCTCGGGTCACAGTTTTATCGCAAATTACTAAAAAAAAAAAAAGCCAAATCCATGCTGGATCTGAAATAACTTTACCTCAAAAAGCGTTTAATCAGAACATATTTTAGGTTAAAACGCTGTACTTTGGCAAAATGCCATAACACCATTATAGTTATGTATCTGATAGAAGCTGGAAACTAATAATACATTTTGAAACGCATTTCAATTCATTTTTTGTACCTGCTTAACGAGTCGCTTCTGACACTAGGAGTGTTAGGTCGCTTATGATAGAGGCTCTCTGCCCAGTGCCGCCTTGCTCCTGGAATCTTTGGAAGTTAAAATAATCATCACCAATTGCTAAGTAACTTATTAGACATATTTAAATGGGTTACAGCAATACTAGTGTTAATCTTTTTTCTCAAAATAAAGTCTTTATTCAATACTTCTCAAAGCATGAAACATTATAAAGCAAATGTACAAAAATGAAGGATACATACATTTCACAGAGAAAGGTGAAGGAGAGAAAGAGGAGGTTGTTTCGAATGGCTGTGGCATAAAAGTGATTATTCATTACTGTTCCCTCAAGGACTGATATTTGATATCTGAAATTATTTCTCAGCACTGCTTGTTGACAGTCAATTCACTCACTCGGGGTCGTAGCCCGGTGGAGGAGCCTTCCATGTTTCATCGAAGGGCTTAAGTGAGGATCTATAATACAGGTTATGACACTCCCTTTGCTGTTTCTCCTATGTAAGCAGACACCTTCTATGTTATTTGGGACAGATTAGTGTCAAACTCATTTATCTATTATACATTTTCCTAACTATTATATCATCACATTCAATGTCTCGAATTCAAACTCAGTGTCTATACAAGTTCCCCATCTACATGAGTTCAAGAGAAATTAATAGTAGATCACCACGCCACGAGATTATCTTTCTGTCCTGTCAAATAAAAACCTAAATATGCTGAAAGAGTCGTAAATGTGGTTGTCTGCTTTAATACAGGTCTCCGTATAAACAATATACATTGATCACGACTAGACTAACGTCGAGCCCACAAATAAGTGGTAAAGATCTTGGGCCCGTTTCATAAAGCCTACCATTAATGGTAACGTCAATGAAAACCTTAATTTGATTGGCTGTTGAGTAACGTTGACATGGTAGATAATGCTGATGGCAAAGTCTCTAGAAATATTAACGACAAACATCTACCGTGTGGAAACACTCACCTCCACCTCATACGCATGTAGGCCCACTGTCGGAATGGCTCTTGGTTCTTCACGAAGGAATTCTTCTTCGAAGAAGTCTTCCACATTTGTGTCATGTTTCTTTTCTTTAGAGGGAAGGTAGAAATATAAAAACCAAAAAGATGTGTTTAACCTTATTTATCAGTTAAATTAGAAGAATAAACTGTATTGTACGATTCCTCATTGTTTCTAAAGGTTCTGTTTCAATTCAATTCTGGTTTTATTGTAAATAAAAACATACTGAATAAAAAGTCCGGAGACTCATACAATTCAGTTTACAAATTATAAATACATACAAGAATAAAGAAATCAATACTTTTAGCAATCTTTTTAAAAATATTAATTACTAATTCTAATGAACTAAACAACTAATTTCAAACAATCGTGAAATAATACATGTTCTAATTGTGCAATTAAAACTTTTAAATAGTAAAATAAGTTGTTACCATTTTCTAAATGTCATATGCAATTTTGTAATACACTTTCAAATTAATAAGTAGTCTTTTTTAGCATGAATGAGGGGGTTTCTATTCACTCCAACAGTAGGTTTTACAGACACTGCGTATACATGTAAGTCAAAATGGTAGACTAATTTGTACAAATCAACTGGCGATGCTTCACAATAATTCAGCTTCAACTTTTAGCAAGATCCAACATCAACAATCCACAAAATTTGTCTAGAAGATGCCTGACTACAATATAAACAGGTTGACAGTAACCGATAAGAGAGACAAACTCTAATATCCACTAAATCTTAATACTTGAAGAGAGCTGTTTTGGGGGCAACCGTACAGGTGCACACAACCAATCAATCTTGTTTATCCTCTGGTCTTTTTTAGAATGAATCTAATTGTGTTTTAACATTTTAGTGCGCTCTTACCCGCTCTTCGTCGTTGTTTCAAAACAGGGGCTGAATCTCCTGAATCGCTCACGGACTTCCACACTTCTCTTAGATGATCGTCTGCTATGGAGACGGAATGCTGCAAGCATTTCCAATAGCGGATCATGCAGATAGCAGCCTTTTGATTTGGGGTATACACCCCAGTCTCCTTATGTTGTCTGCTTCTGAACTGGATGATGTCAAGTGTCTGGTAGGACAAACCCAATGCTAGACCAAGATGGTAGTACTGATCAGTGTTTATCTCTTTTGTGATGAATTCTTCACTCGGAGTGTCTTCGGCTTTGCTATAAATGAAAATACAGGGAGAAGAGAGACTGATAAAATAGAATGCCGTTATTTCACTGATTATCAAAGCTAGATAATATCGTCACCTAGTATCCCATCCAGATCTCAGTTAGGAGATACTACCTCCAATATCTGACTTCGAGTCTGTTCTGTTCATGTTCGTGATCCTCTAAGCTGGATATTGTTTGCCGATAAGAGCGTTTGCATTCGAGAGTGTGTTACCTATTTCATACATTTTGGAGTATAATCCCATCACTTTAAAATTACATGAACATAGTCAAGAAAGCAATATTCATATTGTCACTTTTAATTGCATTCCAGGGGCTGATCTTGAACTTTTTTTTTTACAGACTTGCAGATTACCACTTCAGGAGGAAGTAGATTCGAGGCCCGAATGGTTCTGGGGAGAAGTTGATCAGTTTTGAATCTCATGTTGGAGGAGATGAGGTGGCATCCCTTTAGGATATTATGAGGTTGTGTAAGGCGAGGCGTCAAAAATATCGATACCAGCAGGCTGCCGCCTCACGTATTGGCGCATCGAGGCTGCAATTACGGCCGAAGCCTGGCTGGGGCAATTATTTTTCACTTATTAACCCAGCCGGCTTGCGCCAGGCTGGGATCTGAGGCTCGGTTTCCATTCGAAAGGCAGCAGCCGGCGCATGCTTTTGAATGCCATTTCCTACCGCCAGCGGTAGCCGGCTGAGCTAATTTAAAAAATGCAGCCAGGACGCACAAGTGCAGTTAGCTGCCGCTGGCTGGTATATTTATTTTTGACGCCTCGCCTAATGTAGTTCAGTTTTGAGTATGGCGATTTGGTCATGAATGGCTTTGAAGAAGGGTTAGTGCCCAGCCACAGGTCGTCGTTTTTGAAGTTGTTGCCAATACTTTTCACTATTCTGATACAGTCTTATACATGGACGTCCATTCCCATTTAATGGTCAGTGACAAGTTTGGCTCCTCCTTTCTAAACAAATCATCAGGTTTGTTGATGTGCTTGGTTTAATTTAAAAAAAAAGGATCATATATGCTACATGCGTATTTACCATGTTCAAGATGAAGACTTACTAAAAATGAGGAAAAAAAGAGTGAATGCAGCTCTCTGAATATTCTTGGTTGAGAGGCCGGATGGTTTTCATCCCAAGCATTGCATTGGTGAGCTCTTTATCTGCTTGGTTCTCCAACAATAAGTTTTGGTCAACTCCGAAGTAAGAATGTCGGTTTAACTCGTTGAGAGTAGTACCGTTCATTGTGTATATTCGGTTGATAAGGTTTAGCCTGTTCTTGAAAATTCGAGGAACATTTGGAGGACTTGGCAACGTTGAATTTCCTTTGTCACTAAATCATTTCAATTGCCCGCCCAGCTAGATAGCCTATTCAGATCGGAATGGATGATTTGGGTGTCATTGGTCGACTTGATCGCCCGGTAGAGGATGCAATAATCTACAAATAGCATCGTACTCGACGAGATGTTTCCATTGATATTGTTGATATAAAGAGGAAGAGTAACGGCCCTATGGCAGAACCCTTTGGGACGCCTGACAATACTTCAGCCGAGTCTGAAGCATTTCAACTAAGTTTTGTGATGTTGATGTCAGCGTGTTCTCTATCCACTGCAAAAGTTGTACCCCCTGATGACTGAACTATTAGTGTTGCATTTAATTTTAGCCAGACTTTCATATCTTTTGGATTTGTCTCTACTAGTTCTTTCAATAATAAAGTAACAGATTATTAATCAATCTCGTGTAACGATGTTCAAATTTGTAATCTGACACGATCTTAATTATGTTTTTCCATCTTGTTAATGTTATATCTCAAAATAATATAATAATAATAATCACACAAACGTTTTAGAGCATATCACGGAAAAAGCATAGTAGTGATAGTAATCAGCAAACAAGGATTTACACACAAAATATTGTTCGTGTAGAAATGTTTTTTCTTAGAGTAAATTTACCTGAGGTCAAAATTTGATCCAGAGACAATCTCATCTAGGGCTGAGTGTCTGTCGGCAAAAAATCCTTGGAGGAAATGATACAATTGTGACCACAGTTATCTCATTGGTACACGGGTAACTTCGATTCCACGTATAAGCCAGTTTACGGTTGCAGTCTGAGCATGAGCAGATAAAGGTCATTTGTACCAAAAAGGTAAAACCCACAGAGATGAATACTGGATATGCACTCATTAAAGTTATGCAACATTATTCATTTATGCACCAACGGTACATTCTAAGATACGCAGGTGGAAGTATTCTTTCCAAGAGGGCAAACAAAAGGTATTCATGAAGTACATCTAGGACTTTGGCTGTTATTATTCTAAGATGCTCAAAGTGGAACTTCTCCGTGTGTAAAAGATCTGTGGATATTTGGGGTCATTTGTACCATGTGCTATCTGTAAACTCCCTTGTTGCATACTTATGGGGATGATAATTGCGTTTAAAAAGGCAATTACATAACATACACGAAACTATATTTAGTTCTTTGTTCTCGATTGTACCGTACAATAGGTTTTCGTCAAATTCACAACTTGAAATATTTTACAATATAAACATAGTGAAAAATGTGCATTGATCCTCGATTTTATGAAAATGATAGAATTGAACATGTTTAAACGATAAACGCCTTTGTTTATATCTATTGAGAAGGAAGATGAGTTGAAGAAGGGGGAAGGAGAAGAAGATTAACAAACCAGTACGTATAACCACGAACGCCATGCTGGTTTTTGGTTGGTTGGTACTTGTTGCTAAAACTGAGATGTTAATAATTTGCGTTCTGGCATTGGTTTCCGTCGTGATGGGCAGCAAAACCAATGTCTTCTGCCGGTTGAATAAATCTTTCGTACAGATGATCTGATAAAATATCATATTTATAATATTTATTGTTTATTTCTTCCTACATCATTGAACCAGTTTAGAGTACGATGTGGTCGATAAGACACTTATGGAATTCAGCCATGTGCCCAACACAAAATTCAGACCTAATCCGAACAATTACTGTAGACAATTACTTGAACCAAAATGCATCCCGGACACATACCCTATACTTTTAATGAAATAGAACCACTTACAACGCCAAATAAATACCTGAATTGATATTTGTTTTTGTTTGTGACACACACTAATTTGAGGGTTATCAACATTAAATTACTTATTCTATATGTATATATATATATATATATATACATATAATACACATACTCACAACGCCCAGATAAGAGACATTTCCATCTAAAGTGAACTATCATACTTTCATTAGAAGGCCATTAACAGTTTAACCAAGGAAATCGCCCGGGGAAATCGCTTTGCATCTCTTGCCTCGTATAAAACATATCTTTAATAAAGAATAGAATGCACATACATCAATACATTATAAGAATTAGAATAATTGTTACCTTCCTTTCCCCATTGCATTCTAGCTCGAGATCCCTTGACTCAGGGTCAAGACCAAAACCTCTCCCAGGATGTACTTGATGGTATAGCCGATTTTCCTCTTCTTCCTGAATGTTCTGTTATATATTACGAACATACACAAAACAGTGACAGGAGATCTCATAAATGTAGTGATTGGAATTATAGTAATGATGATGATCAATTCACCTTCTACGATCTGCCTAAGTTGATTAAAAGTGCGTTGCATTCAATACAAACCTGTTCAGATTGCGTGAATCGGAAACAAAATGTCCACATGACAAAATAATGACTTTCTTTTATAGCTTTATATTTTTTCTTTCACGATGTACTTCTACTTCTACGACGATACTCAGCAGGATCCATAAGTCAGGATGTATAGTGCTGAGGAATAAACTATCTAGTTCTTGGTCTATATGCTGGGTGGAAGCGCTCCCTTGAAGCCCTCCAGTGAAGTAGCGTCAAGGGTGATCTTTGAAAGTGCATATTACTGTCCGAGGGAAAAATGAGTTCTGGTAGAGCTGGATGCGGGATGGGATAGCCAGCAACTTCTTTGAGTGATACTGTCGTGTGTTGCTGGCAATCATGGGTGCTGTGTAATGGTGTGCATTGATGGCTACTGTGTTGTTTTGGATCTTGTACATGAGGTGGAGGCTTGCAGCATTTCTTCTCTTCTCCAGACTCTCCCATTTCAGATATTGAATCATGGCCGAGACACTGGCCATACGACGATATCTCTGGAGGGTGAATCTTGCTGCTCGCCTTTGTACCGCCTCGATTTTGGATATATGCTTGTTTGTGTGAGGGTTCCAGACCGAGCAACAGTATTCCAGATGAGGTCTAACAAGAGAGAAGTAGGCTTGTTGGCGGATCTTTTGTGAGGTTTTGCGGAGATTTCTGCTGACTAGTCCCAGCATCCGATTGGCTTGGGATGTGATGTTGTTCATGTGGCCTTGCCAGGACAAGTTGGATGAGAAAGTCAGTCCTAGATACCGGAGATCTGTTACCAACGCAAGAGGAGTGTCTCCTAGCGTGTATGTCGTGGTGATGGCTTTCCGACGTAGGGAGAATGTGATGTGGTAGCATTTCTCGGTGTTGAATTTCATCTGCCATGTGTTAGCTCATGAATGCAGCCTGTTGAGATCTTGTTGTAGGGCTTGGCTATCAGTGACATCAGTGATCGGACGGTATTGAAGACAATCATCAGCAAAGAGTCAGATTTTGGAAGAGATCTCATCTACTATGTCATTGATGAAGGATATAAACAGAAGTGGGCCGAGAATTGTGCCCTGCGGTACCCCAGAGGTGACTGGAACCCATTCAGATGACTCTCCATCTACAACAACACGTTGTAACCTTTCAGTTAGGAGATGTAGCATGCATGTTCACGACATAATTTTGAAAGGATACAGAATATGTCCTTTTAACACCATGAGCAAGGTGATGTAATTCTTTATTGGTAAGAAATGCTACTCTTGAAATTGGAGGTGAAATAGAAAGACATCATTGTTTAACATTTCTTTTTTAACACTAATAATACCTAAAGGGATAAAACTGTGTGAGAGAGAAAATTGCAAGATTAAAGCCAAACGTTAGACTTTTTCAAATACTGATTTTAAAAGAAAAGTTATTACATGATATATTTAACTATTCGCAGCTATGCCATGCGTATACAAAGTTATATTTTCTTATTCAGCCATTCTATCATCAAAATATATATCATAATAATAGGCCTGCATAGGCAGCATCCAACAAATGTGACTAGAGTCGTCTTAAAAAGTTGAATATTTTAATGTTATCATTTACAAAATGTTTAAAAACCAAAAAGACTCGATTTCAATTATAGACTTGGCACTCTGTGAAGTATTTAAAAATGAATTTCCCATGATAACCGTGAAAGCAATGTAGCGCAATAAGCGGTTTCATATATATATATATAAATTACCTGAAGAATGTAAGGTATGTCTTCATGTATGTACATCCGGAGTGTGATGTCTTCTCCATGTGCCATGTCATTGGGAAGGAAAGGGGTGCACACCATTCGTTTACCACCAATTTGATATTGAAGCTTTATCGGTATCCAAAGCTGTACCTTGTCCTGAATTACAGATGTGGCATCTATGACGAGCTTGATGTCCCTTTCTTTAAGGATACATTGTGTATTACCATATTCAAGGAACCGTTCACGGTGAACTGTAAACAGTTGCATATTGACACAAAAAAATCAAATAAAAATATGTTTTTAAATGTGTTTCCTTTCTTTTGTATGACCCTAATTGATATGATGACGTCCACAATTCTTCAATTTGTTGCTAAGTGCATCGTTTACAACGTTCGCATTAGGTAAGCTAATGATAACTTGAAGAAATGGACATTATTTTGATTTAAAAATTGTATAAATAGGTGAGTGAGGAATGTATGAAGAATAATCTTTTAAAAAGACAGTGCATTTTTACATAAGGTAAACCCTTAACACCTTTACTGCTCCAAATAAGAGTCATTTGAATTTAACGTTGTAAATCCTGAAAAATATTATGTTGTGTTTACAACACCCTTGAATCCTCCTATTGACAACTTACCTGAGGTTGACTTAGTTTCTTTCCAGATAATGTCAGCATGAACATCGTTTGACTTCAGCAATGTTGCGGCATGAGGGAGACTTAACGTAATAGGCTGGTTCTTAGAATAGCGCCACTGTGCAGGAAATGTGATTCCAAAGCCATGGCCTGTAATAAACTCCCTCTCTCTGATAGTTGGGGGCTCATCAGTTACAACAGATATAGATACATCGTGGCAAGAGCCAGCAAGCACTGTTATTGGTGGAATCGACATTGTGACGTCACAGCTATCCAAATGTAGAATACCTCCTTCACAGCCAATATTACGATGACTCTCAGTAGATCTTGCAATCGGTAGATCTATATTTGTTTCATACCAAAAAAAGGGGGAAAGTAACCAGATAGGGGAAAACAGTGGATTTTGAATAATGTCAGTGAGAAGTAAAGCCATTGAAAATCAAATATAATACATACCGCGGAGTGCATGAACATCATCTTCGGATAAGCTGCCAAAAAAACAAAAAAACAAAAAAGTTGTACGAGTCTATCTGTAACTGGATATATTACTTATCGTACATCCATGTTTTACGTCATAGAATTTCTTGTTTTATATTACAGTGATGTGTCAACATTGTTGATTATAATGTCTTCAATACCATCATATAATACACAATAAGAATTGTTGTCTCTAAGGACTGATGTTTGCAGCAAAATATCATAGGAAAGCGACAAATTACATGAACAATCCATCAATCTATCAGCTGGGCCACGCAATAATTGTAGGAATTTTGTACATAGATTATACGGTTATATTTCTTATATCTTATTTCCTTGAGTTGATGTATTTATTTTTAATAATTTTTAAGCAGAATCGTATTTTACGGAGCCTTGTTAACTAATTCCTATGATTTTCTCACCTCCGTAATACCATTTGCCTAATGCGCTCATCTCTGGCAGACTGTACCGGGGTAAAGCCTTTGTCATCTTTGATGTCGATCTTGGATCCTTGATTTATAAGGAATTGTATCAGAGCCTCCGCGGGGGATATGTCATCATCACTCTCTTGTTGTATCTTTTTCGTTAATTAATGAGAAGGATAAGGTATTATGATTTCTGACTGCAGGAACTAAATTATTGTGAAACTTACAAACAAACAAACAAATACAAAATGTCTCAACTTAGTGTTTTTATTACACTCCTACATGTTTTCTACATTTTCGATTACAGAGAATAAGATTTTTATGATTGTATTAGGTTTATACTTGCAGCAATCTATTTACATGGCATTATCTACTTCTAACATGAAAAGATGATGACAAAGACAATGATGATGAAAACAGTAACAATTATAATAGGATTATTACTAGTACCACTACCACTACTATTAATAATAAACATAATAATAATAATAATGGTAATAAAGCTGCATGTCTATATGAATAAGCGTGTCGCCCCATCGTCACTCGATGGCTTCGCCCACATATCTTCGAACATGCACAACCCATACGCACACAAATTACCTAGTGAGTCAGTGAAAAGATTGTAAAGAAGTAACCATAACTTTAAAAAGGAGAGGTTAAGCATGTTACTAATGTTAAACCTCTGTAAATAGTTATTATTTAATAACGTGGACCTAACACACACGCGCGCGCACATACCCACGAATATACACATAACACTATGAACATGACGGACAAAGAAAAAGCACAAAATATACAGTTCCTCATTCTACCCTCAACAATTGCTGTGGTAGATAAAGGAACATCCCTTCACTGCTATTATGTAAAAATGTGTAATAATAATAATAATAATAATAATAGCTAGTTCTTATATAGCGCTTTTCAGGACCGAATGACCTCTCAAAGCGCCTTACAGATATATATATTAATACCCCGGTCATCGGATTCAGGCTTACCCGCACACAATGTATGCACATTCTCCACTTCCTGGGGAGCATTTCAGCCAGGCGTCATTTTTACAAGCGCACACTTGCTAATCTAAGCACATTAGCTTTCGCATCCTACCGGGTACCCATTTAACACCTGGGTGTAGAACAGGTGTCACATACATATTCACCTGTTCTACACATTTGTACATAATAGCAGTGAATGGATGTTCCTTTGTCTACCACAGCAAAGGGTAGAATGAGAAACTGTATACATATTTTGTCCTCTTTCTTTGTCCGTCATATTCATAGTGTAATGTTCATAATCAAGTTTCTCCTTGTCCTTCCCGTATCCTGAACAGTCAGATATTCAGAGAATCGGTTTATAAAAAGGATAAACACATCATACACACACATAAACACACACACGCACGCACGGACATATATACGTGCACCAATTAGCAAGAATAACAGGTCTCTGTAAAGAAAAACCTAAAACAGAAGAAACTCAAAGTTAAAAAATACGTTACCTGCTGCAAAGCTGTCGTCACTTCAACCTGTCTATTCCTACAGTGGCATAGTCTGATGGCAACATGTAAGGGTGTCTGGCCATCATGTGACTGAGGATTTACACCAGCACCTAGTGATAACAACTCCTCAATGATTGATGATAGCCCGCTTACGGTAGCATGGTGTATGGGTGTTAGACCATCACTGTCGCTGTGATGTATTGATGTTGCATCCTGTGAAGAAACCCACAAATAAACAAATAAATGACGGAATTCAAATATTGTCACGCAATGATGGTGTAACCTTTTATGAATTTTGATTCCTTCAATATACATGTATTCGACAAACACGCATGTGTCATCATATATATATATATATGTATATATATATATATATATACATATATGATAACACTATCCATAATATAGAGTAGAAGACATAAAAAATGATGACACTTGGTAGATAAGTCATTGTTGTCTATCATTTAAGGTATTATACAAGGACTATTGGCTCGGCATCACCATCATAAAAAAGGGAAGACATTATTCCCGAGAGCTATCTGGAGGCCTAACAGTAAAACTAAGGGGGTATTGGTGTTGATTAGTTGTAAATATTACAGGTAGTGGGAGAGAATGTATAGTATGAGTGATGGTTATGAATCAGATGTCATTGTAATTAACATAATAAGCTGAATTAGTTACAACTTCAAGTACCTTATCAAGAAGAACCCGTGCAGTATCAGCTTTGCCAGAGCTTAGTGCAATACTTAATGGTGACTGGCCTCTTCTAGAAAGTCTCGTGCTCATAATTGCTCTCCGATCCAGGAGATTCTTCATTATTGTTTTATTCCCACTTTAATAAAACAATAGAGCATAACACGCATTAATGTATATATTTGTACTAACTTTATGTTCGAGGTATTTATGAACACTGTCAATGTTTTTGACTTTATTTACTTATAGCATGATTCTAAGATAACACAGGAAATTCTTTTTTCTTTGAGATGTACTTACATAATTATTTTCGCATCGTTTCTTGCCCCCAAAATGTTTGTATAAAAGGTGACATGTAATTGTAGCGGAACTTTCAGTTGTGTCTCTTTCATTTACAAATCTAAATGTCCTATGCAACCAATAATAAACCTACCGATACAATGGGACCTAAATACATAATATTTTATGAAATCATTTAAAGAAAAAATGAAATATATCATTTTGCATTGATGATATAAATGACGAATGTTTATGTTGAATAAATCGACAATACAGTTGAATCATATTTTGTGATACAGTCATGGAGAAAATAGGTGGAACTATTAAAGAAGGACAAATGTTGTATAAACAGCTCACCTTGATGCAGCATAATGAAAGGCTGTCCATCCTTCTGCATCTTCTGTCTCAATATCTGCATTGTTTTCGAGCAGCAGACGTACACAGTCCAGATGTCCTCCCCTAGCGGCAACCATAAGTGGCGTGACTTCGTTTAAGGTCTGTACGATAAATAATATTGGTACACTGCCTACAATTTTGAGTTGGTCTACCATAATATACATGTAGTCATACTATAATTTCATCGATAAAAACAGTTTGCCCTACATAAGAGACAATCAGGAAGAATATAGAATGCTTACTCACTTGTATGATCATTGTGTTGATAGAATAATATCTTTGACTTGTTTGTATTTATTTATTCGACAATAAGATTTAAATTTTAACATAAGAACTTAATGAAGATATTTCTTTTAACGCATATCTTCAACACTGCTAGAAATCAATATTAATTTCGGGACGATGAGATTTGAGAAGCTCTGTGCTGAATAAAGTGATATCTCACTTAGCCTATTATCCTGATCCTATAAGCCAGTCCGAATCCCAAATTCTGTGCTAAAAACGCACACATTAGAACAATGTGTAATGTCCTTTCCGGTATAGGATTCGGTGTTTCCTTATTTTGTGTTTTGCTTTCGTCCAGAGGGACTGGACCATTTTTAAAGGAATAAATTGGTAGGTTAAAAATCAACGTCGAGTCGATCCTTTTTTTAAAGAACACAGTGGACATATTCCTTATGGGATGCATGTTGAAAACTATATCACGTATTAACCACCGCTTTTGCTTACAAGCCGTACACGTTTTTTATATTGACCAACTGGCCGAAATTAGCCACCATTTTTGTGTATGAAGTGTCCAAATTTGTGAATCAGTGGGAAAGTTAAAAACGCGTCCCTTTCTGTATTATTTTCCCGATTTCAGGCTTTCAGATACTAAAGTAAAGATTTAAACTATAACAATGAAAGATTGAAGTCTAAAAGTTGTGACAAGTTGAAAAATGGTTTATTTAAACTTCTTCCACCCAATTTTAGAAAGTTATTCGGTGTTCTCATGGACTCCATGTTTTCAGATAAATGCTGACTCTATAACACTAACGCCAATTTTTCCTACGTGGTTTTGTTAATATTCTTATTTCCACTCTTTCAAATCTGTTAACATCAAATTAATGAATCGACCACAGGCTTGTAACTTCGACATCTATAAGACTGTAGGCATTCACGGACAACTACCCCCTCTGGCAATCACCCTCAAGAACAATTAAACCAAGGGCAACTACACACAGGGCAATAATTACTGGGACAATTATTTCCCAGTTACGTCCTGGGGGTAGTTGTCCGCGGCTACAGTTATGTCTCAATAACATGCCTTTAGTCTATGAAAACAGTAATCCGTGGACTCAATAGTAACTTTTTTTAAATTCTGTGAAAGAGATATAATTAAGTAATATTCAATTTTTACGCAGGTTTTCGATTACATTAATGTCTTAGTAACATGCCTATTTGAACATATTGAGTCCATCAAAAACAGTAGCTCATGGACCCAACTAGTAACTTTCTAAAATTGTGTGGAAAAGGTTTAATTAAGGAATATTCATTTTAGGCAACTTTTAAACTCCATTCTTTAATAAGTATGCTGTAAATCCTTTCTCGTGAATCTGAAAGCCATAAATCGGGTAACTCATCTCGAGGAACCCGGTTTGTTTCAATATTTCCCTCTGAGACAGCAAACAAGAAGACACCATACAACACATTGGTGGATACATTTCTGCCAGCGCGCCTAGCGGCGCGACCCAACTGTAAAGTAATAGCACTTTGAATAGAGCACAATACCTGTAGTCCCATTTCAAGAGCGTAGTGACTATTTCCCGATTTACCGCTAGTGTTGTTTCTCAAGAAATATTCCAAAGATTCCAAATGACCATCAGCTGCCGCAAAATGATAAACTGTCCAACCAAAAGAATTACGTGCCTCGATATCTGCTCCTTTCGTAATTAGATATTTTACAATGCCAAGGTAGCCCATACGAGATGCAATATGAAGTGGTAGATCACCATTAATTGCTGGTTTGTTGACATCTCCTCCTGCATTCACCAGACATTCAACGACGTCGAGATGACCTCCATTTGAGGCAAAGTACAGGGGTGTATAACCACCGGTATCAACCGAATTCGGGTTTCCTCCTTGAGAAACAAGATATTTTACGATGTTTACATGACCTTCAAATGACGCCCCACAAATAGGTGTCAAGCCTTTCTCCGTTGTTTTGTTTACATCAGCTTGGGCATTAACTAAACGTTCAACAACATGAAGATGACCGTTTATTGAGGCAATGTACAGGGGTGTAAAACCATCGTTATCAACCGAATTCGGGTTCACTCCTTGAGAAATGAGATATTTCACAATGTCTACATGACCGTAATTTGACGCCCCATGAATAGGTGTCCAGCCTTCCTCCGTTGCTTCATTCATATCAGCTCCTGCATTCATAAGAAATTCAACAAGATGAAGATCACCTTCTTCTGAGGCAAAGTACAGTGGTGTACAACCATCTTTATCAACCGAATTCGGGTTCGCTCCTTGAGAGACGAGATATTTTACAATCTCTACATGATCTCTATATGAGACCGCATTAAGAGGTGTCCAGCCTTTCTCCGTTGCTTTCTTGACATCAGCTCCTGCATTCACTAGACATTCAACAACATGAAGATGACCTTCTTGTGAGGCAAAGTACAGGGGTGTATAACCATCTTTGTTAACCGAATTCGGGTTCGCTCTTTGAGAAATTAGATATTTTACAATGTCTACATGACCGCTACCTGACGCCGCATGAAGAGGTGTCACGCCATTCTCTGCTTCATTCTTAACATCAGCTCCTGCGTTCACTAGAAATTCAACAACATCGAGATGATCCTCTTTTGAAGCAAGGTACAGGGGTGTAATACCATCGTTATCAACAGAGTTCGGGTTTGCTCCTTGAGAAATGAGATATTTCACAATGTCTCCATGCCCATATTTTGACGCTGTATGAAGAGGTGTCGAACCTTCCTCCAGTGCTTTCTTCACATCTGCTCCTGCATTTACTAGACACTGAACAATAACGAGATGACCCTTTTGTGAAGCAAAGTACAGGGGTGTATAACCGTTACTTTTAACCGAATTCGGGTTCGCTCCTTGAGAAATCAGAAATTTTACAATGTCTACATGACCGTTATATGACGCCGCATGAAGAGGTGTCCAGCCTTTCTCCGTTGTTTTGTTCACATCAGCTTGGGCATTCACTAGACATTCAACAACATCAAGATGACTCTCTTGTGAAGCAAAGTACAGGGGTGAAACACCATCGTTATTACCCGAATTAGGGTTCGCTCCTTGAGAAATGAGATATTTCACAATGTCTCCATGACCATATTGTGACGCTGTATGAAGAGGTGTCGAACCTTCCTCCAGTGCTTTCTTCACATCTGCTCCTGCATTTACTAGACACTGAACAATAAGGAGATGACCCTTTTGTGAAGCAAAGTACAGGGGTGTATAACCGTTACTTTTTACCGAATTCGGGTTCGCTCCTTGAGAAATCAGAAATTTTACAATGTCTACATGACCGTTATATGACGCCGCATGAACAGGTGTCCAGCCTTTCTCCGTTGTTTTGTTCACATCAGCTTGGGCATTCACTAGACATTCAACAACATCAAGATGACTCTCTTGTGAAGCAAAGTACAGGGGTGAAACACCATCGTTATTACCCGAATTAGGGTTCGCTCCTTGAGAAATGAGATATTTCACAATGTCTCCATGACCATATTGTGACGCTGTATGAAGAGGTGTCGAACCTTCCTCCAGTGCTTTCTTCACATCTGCTCCTGCATTTACTAGACACTGAACAATAACGAGATGACCCTTTTGTGAAGCAAAGTACAGGGGTGTATAACCGTTACTTTTTACCGAATTCGGGTTCGCTCCTTGAGAAATAAGGTATTTTACCATGTCCACATGACCATACATTGATGCCACATGAAGAGGTGTCTCGCCATTCTCTGCTTCATTCTTAACATCAGCTCCTGCATTTACTAGACACTGAACAATAACGAGATGACCCTTTTGTGAAGCAAAGTACAGGGGTGTATAACCGTTACTTTTTACCGAATTCGGGTTCGCTCCTTGAGAAATCAGAAATTTTACAATGTCTACATGACCATACAGGGACGCCGCTTGAAGAGGTGTCTGGCCTTGTTCCGTTGCTTTGTGAACATCAGCTCCTGCATTCACCAAGCATTCAACAACATCGAGATGACCCTTTTGTGAGGCATTGTACAGGGGTGTATAACCACCAACATCAACCGAATTCATGTTCGCTCCTTGAGATATGAGATATTTTACAATCTCTACATGACCTCTATATGAGGACGCATTAAGAGGTGTCCCGCCTTTCTCCGTTGGTTTCTTCATATCAGCTCCTGCATTCACTAGACATTCAACAACATCGAGATGACCCTCTTGTGAGGCAATGCACAGGGGTGAAAACCCGTCGTTATTAACCGAATTCGGGTTCGCTCCTTGAGAAATGAGATATTTTACAATATCTACATGACCTCTTCTTGACGCAATATAAAGAGGTGTCCAGTATTTCTCCGTTGCTTTCTCCACATCAGCTCCTGCATTCACTAGACATTCAACAACTTCGAGATGACCCTCTTGTGAGGCAATGCACAGGGGTGTATAACCATCGTTATTAACCGAATTTAGTTTCGCTCCTTGAGAAATTAGATATTTTACAATGTCTACATGACCATTATATGACGCCGTATGAAAAGGTGTCCAGCCTTTCTTCGTTGCTTTCTCCACATCAACTCCTGCCTTGACCAGGAATTCAACAACATGAAAATGACCATTTTTTGAGGCAAAGTACAAGGGTGAAACACAATCGTTATCATCTGAAATCAGGTTCACTCCTTGAGAGATTAAGTACTTTACAATGTCTACATGACCTCTACTTGACGCCACATGAAGAGGTGTCTCGCCGTTCTCTGCCGATTTCTTCACATCAGCTCCTGCATTCACTAGACATTCAACAACATCGAGATGACCCTCTTGTGAGGCAATGCACAGCGGTGAAAACCCGTCGTTATCAACCGAATTCGGGTTCGCTCCTTGAGAAATGAGATATTTTACAATGTCTACATGACCTCTACTTGACGCCACATGAAGAGGTGTCTCGGCATTCTCTGCTGTTTTGTTCACATCAGCTCCTGCATTCACTAGACATTCAACAACATCAAGATGTCCGTTTAATGATGCGTAGTAAAGGGATGTAAATCCATCTCCATCACTAGTATCAACGTCTACTTCTTTACGCATGATGTACCTTACAGCGTCGAGGTAGCCCTCTGATGATGCTTTGGAAAGCACAAGCGGACCAACGTCATCTCTGTTGCCAAGGTCTGCTTCCCTAGACATGAGAAACTCCACAATGCCACGATGCCCCTTTATTAATGCGGATGATAGCGGAGTGTAGCCAGAATTAGATGCTCTATTGATATCTGCACCTGCTTCCACGAGATATTCAACAACATGAAGGTGGCCATTTTCTGATGCCGCGTGAAGGGGTGTGTATTTGCTGTTGTCATCAATGTTGATATCTGCTCCTTTAGCTATGAGATATTTCACGACATCAAGATGACCCTTACTTGATGAGGTATAAAGGGGTGTAGAACCATCATTTAAGGCTTTGTTTATATCTGCTCCATAATTCACTAAACATTCAACAGCATCAACATGACCCTCTTGTGAGGCAAAGTACAGGGGTGTATAACCATCGTTATCAACTGAATTCGGGTTCGCTCCTTGAGAACTGAGATATTTTACAATCTCTACATGATCTCTACCTGACGCAGCATAGAGAGGTGTCTCGCAATTATCTGCTGCTCTCTTCACGTCAGCTCCTGCATTCACCAAACATTCAACAGCATCAAGATGACCCGCGTGTGAGGCATGGTACAGGGGTGTACAACCATCGTTATCGACCGAATTCGGGTTCGTTCCTTTAGAAATGAGATATTTTACGATATCTACATGACCATTACATGACGCCCCGTGGATAGGTATCCAGCCTTTCACATTTGCGTTTTTCACATCAGCTCCTCCATTCACTAGACTTTCGACAACATGAAGATGACCTTTATGTGACGCAATGTACAGAGGTGAATAACCATCGTTATTAACCGAAATCACGTTCGCTCCTTGAGAAATGAGATATTCTACAAGGACTACATGACCGTTATATGACGCCGCATATAGAGGTGTCCAGCCTTTCTCCGTTGCTCTCTCCACATCAGCTCCTGCATTCACTAGACATTCAACAACATCGAGATGACCCTCTTGTGAGGCATTGTACAGGGGTGTATAACCATCGTTATCAAACGAATTCGGGTTCGCCCGTTGAGAAATTAGGAATTTTACAATGTCTACATGACCTCTACTTGACGCCACATGAAGAGGTGTCTCGGCATTCTCTGCTGCTTTGTTCACATCAGCTCCTGCATTCACTAGACATTCAACAACATCAAGATGTCCGTTTAATGATGCGTAGTAAAGGGATGTAAATCCATCTCCATCACTAGTATCAACGTCTACTTCTTTACGCATGATGTACCTTACAGCGTCGAGGTAGCCCTCTGATGATGCTTTGGAAAGCACAAGCGGACCAACGTCATCTCTGTTGCCAAGGTCTGCTTCCCTAGACATGAGAAACTTCACAATGCCGCAGTGTCCCTTTATTAATGCGGTTGACAGCGGAGTGTAACCAGAATTAGACGCTCTATTGATATCTGCACCTGCTTCCACGAGATATTCAACAACATGCAGGTGGCCATTTTCTGATCCTGAGTGAAGTGGTGTGTATTTGTTGTTGTCGTCCACGTTGATATCTGCACCTTTAGTTAAGAGGTATGTTACAACATCAAGATGACCATAGGAAGCCGCAGTACTAAGACAAGTTTTACCTTCATATCCCTTCAATGTCATATCTGCTCTATTAGTGATGAGATATTTCACAACGTTCAGATGACCATTTTTTGATGCAGCATGAAGGGGTGAGTTTTTATCATCACATGTTACTTTGTTCACCTCTGCTCCTGAATCTACTAAACACTCAACAACACCAAAATGGCCCTCCTCCGAAGCAAGATAGAGTGGTGTATAGCCATTGATATCAGCAATATTGGTATCTGCTCCTTGGCCAATGAGATATTGAACAACATCTTGGTGACCGCTTCGAGATGCGTAGTGAAGAGGGGCGTCACCGCTCCTACTTCGTTTTTCTAGATCCACCCCCAAGTCAGTCATATATTTCACGAGGTCGATGTGCCCTTCTTCTGAAGCGATATGAAGAGATGTCTTTCCGTCAGGAGTCAGAGTGCGTAGCATGTCCAGCTTGGTATCATCTGTCTCGTCTTTAAGAATAGACATTGTCTCTACAAGATCGCCTTCCTTCACCGCTGTAGAAAGCGCCATGTGCATTCTGTCTTCTCTCTTGGTGTGTGTATTCTCTCTCGCTATGTGTAAAATGACAAAGAATAGAAAAATGGGCAGAAAAATTGACATTGGAATTTTACCACTCTCAAATTGTTTAGTATTCAGATTTAAATGAACCAGGACAAAACACGATGTAGGAATAAAACATATTACTGCAGATTAAAGAGATGATATAGGGTGACGTATAGTAAGGCTCTCCCCCATGTCGCTTCCAAAAAAAGTGTTCACCGCTTTGTAATCCATTTCTTCATCTCAAGAAGCCATCCACAACATTTTATTTCGGTGCTCTTCATCCTAACGTAATATTCACTCTTTAGACAAAAATCTGAGTATTAAAGGGGTGGGGGCATTTCATTTTTTGGCCCATTGAGTAATACTGCTATAATACCTGTCAGAATTGTCATGTACAGTACATGTATACTGTAAATGTACATGTATAGTGTTTCCATTCAAAATGCGCATCCTGTAAAAAGACACAAATTCATTTTGGAGAACATGAAATGACTTATTCATAATGTGAATGGTGGTGTTTATTTTACCTGACTGCAAAGAAAGCATAAATGCTTGTAAGTAACCAGACGGCCGATGGCTGTAGGTCCTCTCCGAGGGATCTAGTAATGAGGATAAATGCCTTACCAAAGGGCACTAGCGCATCGACTTGGTTTCGAACCCGGGTCACCGGATTACGAGACCACTGCTCTACCAACTGAGCTATCGCGCCTCCTCACATTATCTGATGATGATTTATCTTCATGCGTGTGGAATGACAACATACAGTTAACAACTAAATTATTCATACCCTTACTAACTTTTGTAATTTGTAAAGTATGTGAGCAATTGATTTGTCCCCATTTTAAGCGGAGGGCCAAAGTAAAATATCATGCTTAGTTTTTGAGTTGCCTGCCACTACCGCATAAAGCACATCTTGTTTATTCGAAAGATTTTATCATAATAGACAATATTTCAGAGGTGTTTTTTTTTTTTTTAGCGAACCCTCCTAAAACGGAGGGGGCGTCCAAAAAAGCGGCCCCACATGAATATGTCATGTATGTCCTATCTGTAAAATTTAAACGTTAGCAGTGTCCTAGTATTCAAATTATGCAAGTTAACCTGTTTACTTTCTAGACTTCACTGTCAGACAGTATTGAGTGACTGACTGACATCTTTTATCTTTGGTGATAACAATCATAAAATGAGCTGTAACAGGTACATAAGCATTCGTCAATAGCCCACTACTTGTAATGGCCAAAATTAAACTGCTTGAATCTTTGTGCAACGCAAAACGTACGACCATTCGGTACAAGGGTCTGAAAATCGGACTATTACTTAAGTGATCAATCACTTATGTTGATTCGACAACTAATTTCCCCCAAAATAAAGCCATTTTCAAACCCTTTCGTTTTGAGGGAAGTTCTAAATAAGTATTGTCTTTCAAACGCCGTTGGAATTCAACATTTTATTTGTTTGACCTGCAAATGGGACATAGTACCTTTAAGGGAATCTTCAACTATCATGAGTTTGGTGTCATATAAATGAAAATTAAATTATCTAAATTTTATTACAGATTTCAAAAAATTGGGATTAATCAATATCGCGAATTTAAGTAAAAAATGAAATTTCGACATATTGAATTTTATCAATAAACGTTATTTTCCATAAACCAAAATTGGAGAGGTACATTTTTAGTTTTAAGTTTTCAGGAATTAGCCCATAATCAAGGATAATTTCTGTGAAAAGGAAAGATTGATATCTCTTTTCAATAAAAAGTTATAACAACACAAGGTTATTGATTTGGTTTCCACCAAAACAACTTTTTTGCCCACAGCTAGATGCCCGTATGTCCGTTTGTCTGTATTTCTTACATATGATCAAACTTACATTTTACCGCTTGTTCGCTTCATTCACTCGTAACATCTAGAAACTGGGAAAATCCGGGCATAGAGATATCCTTATATTCATGTAAATTTTACAGCAGAGTGCTGGCATTTATTATTGTATATCTTATCCAGTTTGTTATTTACAGAATAATTGTGTAACATAAAAAAGGTAAAAATTTTGGACTCTCTCGACGAGTTTCAGAGTGATGCACGAGTAATATTCTGTGATGAATATGGTATTTGGGTGACACAAAGCTTTTTTATTTCTGAAAAAGGGTTGAAAAACGCTACTCTAATTTACGATGTAGATTTCTATCGTGGTCTAAATAAGTATACACATACGAAAATTAATAGTAGCGTATTGTTGCCACCCATTTGACAAGGACAGGCATCCATCAATATTATTTGATTTGATTTGATTTGATATGGTTTTTTGATTAAAAAACATTCAAATTATGTATATTTAAAGGGGCTGTAGCATGACGAGAACATGTGTCTTTCCCGTGGCCCTCGGGGCCAATCGGATATAATACGACTACGGACGACGCGACCGCAGTATTCAGGTGCGTGCAAAATACGCGAAACCGAAGCGTGAGGAGAACTTCGGTGTGTTTCGAGGCCTTTCGCAAACGCTAGCGCGCGTTGACCCAGTTACTCACTAACCTCTACCTCAGTGCAGTTCGTTTACTTGCAGCTGTCCAAAAGAAGACGAAGATGGCGTCAACCAGTATTTCACATGCTACAGCCTCTTTAAACTATGGATTAAGGTAAACCTCCTTTATGAAGTCGGACCTTGAGATGAAAATATAAAAAGTGTACACCAATTTAAATAATTTCAAGTTTGATACCATTGCACCATTTTTGTATTATCTGTATGTTGTTATTGACTTTATTTACATCAAATTTGCCCTGGTTATCTGGTAAAGTATGAAATAGGTTGGAATCATCGACACACAGCCAACAATTTAAATAATCAGAAACTAATGGCATATCATTTATATGGATAACAGGGTTCGCCCTACTACTGATTCTTGTGAAAATCCACATCTTATCTTCTTCCTTTCAGATAACGTTTAACAAAATTAAACAAACAGAAATCGGTTATTACGATAGTCTGTAAACCATTGAAGAGGTAACCCCTTAACGCCATAATCAGATAGTATCCCTATTTCATGTATTATAATTAAATTTGATTTAATTAAATTCAAACTGTTTTGATTTCAATCCAAACAGATAGGATCATTCTCAATTTGTGTAACCATTGGATAACAAATTTCAAAATTATAGTGTTATATAGATAATTGAGTAAACAATACAATAACCAGGAATGACACAAATTAACATACTACTGCATGTCTCATCTGAAATATAATACAGGGATGAAAATAAATTATATTACGCGTAATACTTTTTACAACTTTTGCTCCTTTTCTTTTCAAATAAAAAGGAAACAAAATTAAACATGATAGAATATGATTAATTGTGTCAAATTCTTTCTTAAAATCGATGAATACACTAAAAGTTAAATATCCCCGATCTATACATTTTAAAGTTGATTTGATCAAGCTGATGAAAGACAATTTAGTTCTATATTTCTTCCAAAACCCATACTGATGCACCATTTGTTTCTAGAAATTTGATTGATCTGATATATTTGTTTTCTTGTTTGTTTAAACCTTATAACAGGTAAAACCGATATTGGTCTGTAGTTATCTGGATCTTCACTTTGCCCTTTTTTGTGTAGGGGAGCAACCTTTGCAATCTTAATATAATCTGGAACATTGCCCGTTTCTAATAATAAGATAAATATATTTGTCAATGGATGTTAAGTATAGTGAGCTCTATATTTAATCAATTGCCCAGTAATGTTGTCGTGACAAGAAGCCTTTTTGGTATAAGTAGCAAAACCTGACGTATAACTTCAACTCCAATTATTGGTTTCCAAAATAGAGATTGCTCTACACTCCGCCCAAAATAACCACCTCATGTTATCTCTTCATAAGGTAGCTGTGAAAAGTGTTTACTTCATCATTATTGTTTCAGGGTGGGAGGGATGAAGAGGGCACGAACATTTATATGATCTTACTGAGAGAGAGAGAGAGAGAGAGAGAGGGGGAGAGATAGAGAGAGAGAGAGAGAGAGAGAGAGAGAGAGAAAGAGAGGGGGAGGAGATATAGCCCGGGGTTCAAATTCTGTTTTCTTTCATATTATTAAGCCTGGTACTGATGAATACATTTGCCATGTGACGGTTCCTTATAAATAGTACCGCAATGGTTTATTGTCATCAAAATATGCATATAGTATTGTATAGAAGACGACAAAATAGGAAAAATAACACATCGTCTGCCAAAACTTCCGAACAGTGGAGTCAACCGACCGGAATCAACTGTAAAACAAATTATTATGAGTCCTACCCGAAAGAATAAATTGCCACGTCATGGTCGTATTAAATGGCGAACGATTGCTGTTTAAATTCAGCCAGCGAGATAAAACTAGATGAAACTATTATCGCCAGAATTAAGTTATCTTGAACATGCGTGGCATCCACTCATATCTGATTACTTAGTATTTCCCAAGAGATTAAGTTTGGATGTCATGCATTAACCCAAAATTCCCTCCAAAGTTTAAAAAAAAAAAAAAAAAAAAAAAAAAAAAACGTTTTGGCTGTTTTACTATTATAGAGATTTGTATTCGCTGCGGGCTTCGTAGTTACACTGTTTCTCAGTTGTATTTTTTTAAAGATATTCATTTATATCTTTTCTTTCTTTTCTATCTTTTCAACTTTAAAGGAGTGCAAGTGTCAGAGACATGTCCATGTGCAGGTGAACAAAAGGCCACCCCCCCCCCCCTTGCCCACACTAAAACGCAGAAACAGATGATGCGGGTGTGTGTTCGTGTCAATGTGTATGTGAGAGATGCATTGACCATTTCCGTTGCAACTTCACAAGTTTTCTTTGGGGATGGGAAGGGGGCGGTGAAGGTGAAGGTGTACACCTGCGCCATGCACGATATACTGGATGGGGACGAATGAAGAGAGGGATTCATCGGGTGTGTGCTTCAATGTAAGAGAGAGATAGAGAGAGAGGGGGGGGGAGAGAGAGA